ACATGCTCGTGAGCACACACAGACACACACATTCACACACACACACATATGCACATATTCACACACACGCACATATATACTCACGCGCACACACACGCACACAAATGCACACATACTCATGAGCACACAAATACATGCATACACACACATACTCACGTGTGCACACACTCACTGTCTCACACACTCACTCACTCTCTCGCACTCCCACTCTCTCCCACACACTCGGGTGCGCACACTCTCTCACACACACACACACACTCATGTGCACACACACACTCTCTGTCACACACACACACACGCACACACACACATACTCATGCGCGCGCACGCACACACTCATGCGCACACACACATACGCACACACAAACACACAAATACGCACACACAGGTTTGTGACTCTTCAAGAAGGATTATTTATCCTGCCCGTTTCCTGATTTCCACATGGCCCCCTGAGAATCCAGTAGCCAGCTTGACAGCACAGCAAGATCCCACAAACAGCACTGGTCCCAGCGATGGTTTATTCCCCCCCCCCCACTTTATATTGAAAGCGATCCCACTGACTGGCAGGCTGATTTGGATCTTCCATTGAGTGTCTGCCTTGCAGCTAGTCGTGTGGGTGGCTGGGATGCAGTTTGCTGTGCTCTGAGCTGCGACTCGCTGCGCATCTGGAAATGCAAATCCACCCCCAACGCAGTTCCCAAGGCTTCTGGGAACAGTCTGACCCTTGAGCTCCTGCAAATGATGAGCTGGGGGTCTTACTGACCATATCTCCTGTGTTAGACCTCAGATTGGGGTGGGTGTGGTGTTGTGGGGTGGGAGTGGGGAGTTGCTGCTGGGTATCTACAGAGATCTACGATGCACCCCAAAAGTGTCAGTGTCTCATTTCGACATCCATCCAGACTATTTATTCCCTGCAATAAAAGTTCACTGGCAGGAGAAAAGGACCCATACTCCTGTAGCTGGAGAGAGCTGAAGATCTTCCTTTGCTGAGATCCAATTGCTGACAGTCACCAGAAGGAAGGAAGATCTCCAAGACCAGGAAACACTCAGGAATCCTGATATTTAAACCATTGTCAGGTTTTTCAAAAGACTTCCTCGAGTGAAAAATCAGCTTGTTTTACTTCAAGGATTGTTTTTTTCTCTCTTGGAGATTGAGAGAGGGAGACAGGTTTCTCTGCCCTTTTCCCTTGGAAGCCTGTTTGTAAAAGCCAGACGTAAGTGTGCACTAAAAGAGCCGTGTCTATCTTCAGAGGCTGTTGCTAGGTAACTGTTTGCGTAAGTTCGAGGGTTTTTCCAAAGCGTTTTGTCCAATACTCAAAACATAAACCCATCTCTGAACTCATATTCAATGTTTCCTTGTGTAATCACTGGGTGATTCATATCGTTGATCTCCAGCAAATCAGATGATAAATTCCTTTTCAACCCAGCCATGCCCATATCGTTCTGTATTGTAGTTCCTTATTGCCCGTTGATCTGTTAGATATAACTCTTGCATCTCTGAAAGACAACACCTCTGTCAGCACCTGCAGGGGAGTGCCAAGCCAAGGTGTTGAGCTGTAGCCTCTGCAGTGGGGCTTGGGTTGAGAGTTTTGACCCATGTCTGGGTCTCCACAGACATGTCACGGGGGGTGGGGGTGTAGATGTTGGAGACCTGCTCCAGCAGGAGGCTGGGACCGAGCCTGAACTAGGCTCCGAGCGTGAGCTGGGTGATACCAGGGACCTCTCATTGATGCTGGTGTCCAGTCCCTATCCGATGGGAAGATTTCCCCGGAAGAGGAAGAGAAAGCACTGCGCCTTCGAAACCACACTGGCCCTGCCGTGGGCATTGGGTGAGGAAAGGCCGAAAGTGCACAGCAAGAGCCCATGCCAGACTCCCAACTGCCAGTGTGTTGTTTTGGGGTGCAGCGAGAGCCAGCCCTTTGTGGTAGATTAAAACCGAAAGAACTGCGCTTGCTGTAAATCAGGAACAAAAGCAGAAGTTGTTGGAAAAGCTCAGCACGTCTGGCAGCATCTGTGAAGGGAAAAAACAGAGTTAACGTTTCGGGTCCGGTGACCCTTCCTCAGACCCTTCATGCCAGAGGTTAATGCTGGCAGCTTGTCACTGGGTTTTGTGAATGAAAGTGTGCGTGAGAAAGAAAGCTGAGGGGACCTTACAGCCTTTTTGTGGTTAAGTGTTTCACTCTGTAACCAGCCATCTCTGACCCTCCCGCATCACACCATGCTCAGCCTCTGTGCCCTGCCTCCCACTTCCCTCTCGACACTCCTCCAACCCTGACTTTGCTGACCTGCACTGGACCTCCTGCTGCTGAGTGGCTCCATCCCTCCCTTCTTCATTCTCCCTTTCTCCCATACCTTCCTCTCCGGCCTTCCCAGTCCCTGTCTCTGGAAGTTCCCAGCTCCTACAGAACGCCCTGTCTTCCTGAAGTCTTAACCTCTGGCCACTGCCTGGGCCCCAGGTTCTACACTGGTATCCCTCAACCTCTCCTCATTTCTATCTCTCAATACAGCACTCCACAAAACCCCTGTCTCTGTCTCTCTGTGTCTCTGTTTGTCTATGTGCCTCTGTCTCTCTCTATGTTTCTGTCTCTCTCTGTCTCTGTCTCTCTCTCTACCCCACTCTGTATCTCTGTCTGTCTGTTCAAGGAAGTTGCTGTGTTCTTCCTCTGTGTCTCTATCTCTCGCTCTCTTTCTGAGACTTTGTCTCTATGTGTGTCTCTCTCTCTGTCTCTCCCTGTCTCTCTCCCTCTGTGTGACTCTCTCTCTCTGTGTCTCTGTCTCTATCCCTCTCTCTCTGTCTCCCCCCTCCCTCTCTCTCTCTCTCTCTCTCTCTGTCTCTCTCTGTGTCTCCATCTGTCTGTCTGAGGAAGCTGCTGGGTTCTCTGTCTGTGCCTGTGTGACATTCCCTGCTAGTGGTCCTGGTGATAGTGAGTGAAGACCTTTGGAATGCCAGGCAGTATTCCCCCGTAGCTGCAGAGTGCTGCCCCTCACTCTGACGTGGGGCGCCGACCAGGTGGGTGTTTGTCGCGGGGCTGGGGGTGGGTGGTGGTGGCTGGGCCTTACAGAGGGGAGAGCAGGCTGGAGGGGAGACGCTGCGAGAGTCAGGGCTCGGGGAGCTGAGCTGTGTCCCTCTGAGGAGCTGGGTGTATCAGGCCGGAGGAGATTCTCCCAGCTCAGGGCCATTGTTAGAGAACGGAGCTGGGTCAGAGTTGGCTCATTGTGATGTGGTCGCCTTCTAAAGGGGGTCTGGGAGGTGGGGAGGTGAGGAGGCGGGAGTGGAGGGGGGCACAGTACGTGCTCCGGGACTGCCGAGACCGGGATAGGTCTGACTGCACTCTGGGTTAGTCCCAATCCTGGTGGTAGGTGGGGAAGGGGAAGCTTGTCCACCGTCCTGTTGGAGCTGGATTCCCTGTGGGCCTGGAAGGCCCAGGAGATGGTGCTGGAGGTTGGGAGGACCCTCAGGATGGGGGGAGTGGTGGGGGAGGTGGGCGGGGTGGTGGGGGGAGGTGGCGTGTGGGGTGGGGGAGGGTGGTGAGCATGGTTTTGCTGACTCGGCTGCTACCTAAACTCCCACTGACAGCTGGCAGCACGGTGCGCTGAAGAGGAAAAGCCCAGTGACAGAGCCCCTCCAAGATCAGGACCACCCCCCCAAACCGCTCCCCCCACCCCACCTCTCCCTTGTTTCCAAGTGAAAGTCACAGCCTGGGGAAGGTGGAGGAGAGGTGGGGTGGGGGGGTCCAGGAGTAGCCACACTCCTTGGGTGTCACACACACAGGGGAATGAGCCACGTAACTCCAGACCCACAGCAAAGGGGGCCGACACGCTGGAGGCTTGTTCGGTGAAGGATCCTCCAGCAGCAGCTCCCTGCTGTCAGGCAGTACCAAGGAGGGGCAGAGAGGTCCGTGTCCCCTTGGGAGTTTGTAAGGGGTGTGTTGGAGCTGAACGAACAGAGAGGCAGGGAGACACCAGCACCGTTGTGTTCACAGATCAGTTTTTCACTGTCCAGCAATCGTAACAAACCTGTCATCCAAGCTCAACAGGGAAGGCAAACGGGCTGTCGGCCTTTATTCCAAAGGGATTGGAGGACAGAAACAGGGAGGTGTCGCTACAACTGACCAAGGCACTAGCCAGACCCCAGCTGCGATCCTGTGAATAGTTTTTGGGCCCCTTATCGAAGGAAAGATCAGCTGGTATTGGAGGCAGCCCAGAGGAGGTTCACTCAGCTGGTCCCAAGGATGGAGGGACTGTCCAATGAGGAGGGGTTGTACTCATCACGGTTTAGAGGAATGAGAAGGGACCTTGTTGAAATAGACAAGATTCTGAGGGAGGGATTGACAGGGGAGATGTGGGGAGGGTGTTTCCCCGTGAGGGAGGGTCTGGAACCAGAGGGTGTAATCTCAGAGAAAAGGGTCACCCATGTCACACAGAGATAAGGAGGAATTTTCTCTCTCAGAGGGGAGTGAATCAGTGGGATTGTGTACCACAGAGGGCTGTCGTGGCTGGGTCATTGGGTGTGTTCACGGCTGAGATAGATTTTTAATTCGTGAGGGAATCAAGGGTTATGGGAAAAAGGGCAGGAGAGTGAAGTTGGGGATGATCAGATCAGCCACGCTCCCGTTGAACGGATGGGCTGAATGGTCTACAACAGCTCCCATGTTTTCTGGTATTTGGGATGGTGTTATTGGACAGAGCTGACACCTAGCAGAGTGTGGAGAGACGAGTGTGTGAGTGAGTGAGAGAGGCACACCGTGTGTACAGATGTGCGGTCACACCTGTATGAAGCAGCACTGTGCTGTTGCTTGTGACATTCCTGTGCAGATCCGAAACCTGAATGACCCCGTTTCCCTGTCACATGTATCACCTCACCTTCCTGATCTGTCGGATTTATTCCCGCCCTGTCAGTGTCATTCCCGTCCTGATTGCTGACCTATTGGTTTTCCTGGCCAGCCTTGTTGGTTTGGGCCATTAGAGCGTGTTGCTCTAATGGAGCTTTCTCCCTCTCGATATAGATGCTGACGAATGGAGCTGCTGTCGTGAGCGGGGAACATGACACAGAGGTCACTGAACTGATGGCTGTCTACACCAAACAGAACCCTGTAGCCGACAAGGTAACTGTACTGCATCTGACCTCCCACTCCGGTTTGGATTGACGTGGAATGCCTGGCTGCCAGAAATGCCCACGTCCCCTTGCCTTCGATGCGTTTGGCCGGCACAAGTAAGCTGGAAGGACCACCCGAAGCTGCTGGTGTCCTGCTGGCAGCGAAGCTGGTTAATCAGTCTCTGTGTGGTCTTGTTGAGGTTGCTGATTGTTCAGGATGGCAGCGCTCCAGCTCGGACGCCTCTCGGTTCCCGTGGAACGCCTGAGTCACTGGAGCCCGCGCTGTGCCCGACGGCACGCTGCGTTCCCGTCCATTCCAGCTATTGGGCCCTCTCCCTGGATTGTACCCTGCCCAGTCTTCATGCCCGCAGAGGTGGGCAGATGGCTCTGCGTGTGGCCCAGCTCTTTAGACTTTGGGACTCGAAGCCTCCGGTGTTGGCTGATTGGTGAGGATCGTAGAATCCTTGCAGTGTGGAAGCAGGCCATTCGGCCCATCAAGTCCATGCTGACCACGATCCCACCTGGACCCTCTGCTTCACACACTGCATCTCCCATGGCTAACGCACCTTGCCCGCACGTCCCTGTGCACTATGCTCAATTTCCCACGGCCACCCCACCTCCCTAACCTGCGCATTTTTGTGACTGTGTGGGAGGAAACCCACGCAGACACAGTGGGGGTAGAATGTGCAAACTCCACACAAGACAGTCACCCGAGGGTGGACCCGAACCACTGAGCCACCATGCCGGCCCGCAAAGATGTTGTCTTGTCTGGTCAGTGCGCACCAGGAAGGAAGGCGAGCGATGTGTAAGCCTCGACTGAGCTGCCCTAAGTCCACCCCAGGCCTGAACGTCTCCCTCTGAACTGCGGGAGAGTTAGGTCATTGGCTCCTTGCCTGAGCCAGTGGTTCACCGAAAGCACAGTCGCAAACGCAGGAACTGGGTGACACAAAGAGTGCGCAGCCTTCGGGAGCTGGCATTCCACTTAGCGACCGGCCGAGGGCCTGTGGCCCAGGAAGGGCCCGTGTATGAGAGAGAAGGGAGGTGGGGGGGAGAGTCATGGCATTGTGGAGGCACAAGGCCAGGTCTCCTGTCCAAGACAAAGTCAGGTCTGAAATCATATCCCAGCAATGGGGTGGGGTTGGAGTTGGTGGGGACGGAATGATGCCCAGGGGTCAGATTGAGAACCCCTTCTTGATGCTTTTGGCTTTGACTTTGATGTCTCCTCCTAGTTGTCCTTATCGGATAGCTCAGAGAGCCATGGCTGCAGCGAGGCCCAGAGACTGGACATGATCTACACTGTTGAAGACGTCCCACCCTGGTACCTCTGTATATTCCTGGGTTTACAGGTAAGCTCGAAGGTTGTGGGGGGGGGATCTCACACCTCAGACAATGGTCAGCTACATTACACTGGCTGAATGGCCCCATTCCATGAAAGGTGGCACTCCCTGGGTTTCCTTCATGCACTGGGGAAGTGTGATGGAGCACCACACTCACTGGGAGCTTCCACATTCCAGCCGCCTCCTCACATCAAGAACACGGGGAGTGCGAGCGATTGGGAAAGACAAACAGAGGCTGTATGTCTCTGACAGGACGGGAGGGGAGGTCGGCATGTTGGTGGGCGTTGCGCATGTGGGTGTCTCTAAGTACATGTGTCTGGGTGGGTGTGTGTTTGTACGTGTGTGTGTGTGTGTGTGTGTCTGTACGTGTGTGTATGTGTGTGTGTGCGCGCGCGTGTGTGTCTGGGGGATATGTAGTCTGTGTGCATGTATCTGCATGTTTAGATAAGGTGAAGATAGCATCAAGCGAAGCTGTGATATCTTTCATGGTCAGACAGCTGGCTGATGCGGGGGTCTGGAAATTATGCTGTTCATTGTTTCTGATCTGTTGCTTTACACACTTGTTATTCATTTGTGGGATGTGGGTGTCACTGACTAGGCCCAGCATTTATTGTACCGTCCCTAGTTGCCCCTTGAGAAGGTGGGGGTGAGCTGCCTTCTTGAACTGCTGCAGTCCATGTGCTGAGGGTTGACCCACAATGCCCTTAGGGAGGGAATTCCAGGATTTTGACCCAGTGACAGTGAAGGAACGTGATATATTTCCAGGTCAGGATGGTGAGTGGCTTGGAGGGGAACTTGCAGGGGGGTGGTGTTCCCATGTATCGGCTGCCCTTGTCCTTCTGGATGGAAATGGTCATGGGTTTGGAAGGTGCTGTCTGAGGATCTTTGATGAATTTCTGCAGTGCATCTTGTAGATAGTGGCAGCAGTGTGTACTGAGCGTGGGTGGTGGAGGGAGTGGACGTTTGTGAATGTGGTGCCAATCCAGCGGGGGCTGCTTTGTCCTGGATGGAGTCGAGCTTCTTGAGTGTTGTTGGGGCTGCACCCATCCAGGGCAAGTGGGGAGTATTCCATCTCACTCCTGACTTGTGCCTTGTAGATGGCGGGACAGGGTTTTGGAAAGTCAGGGATAAGTTACTCACCGCAGTGTTCCAACCCTCTGACCTACTGTTATAGCGGCTTTGTTACATGGCTGTCCTCCGTATCTGCTCAGTCACAAATTGTGAATTTGTCTATTTGTGCCAAACAATAAGTAACTACAAAAGTCAACATCCACCGGCAAAAATTACATCTCCGTGATACTGTTAACCACTTTAACCTTGTTTAACAAACCCCACACTCACAAATTTCATCATCCATGGATTTGTCAGGAGTGGAACCCTGGTGGATATGGAGGAATAACTGTAAGTTTCTGGTCAATGGTGACCCCCAGGATGTTGATAGCGGGGGATTCAGTGATGGTAACACCATTGAATATCAAGGGATGGTGGTTAGATTGTCTCTTATTGGTGATGGTCATAGCCTGGCATTTGTGTGGTATGAATATTACTTGCCATTTGTCAGCCCCAAGCCTGGATATTGTCCAGATCTTGTTGCATTTGAACATGGACTGCTTCAGTATCTGAGGAGTCGTGAATGGTGCTGAACATTGTGCAATCATCGGCGACCATCCCCACTTCTGACCTTATGATGGAGGGAAGGTCATTGATGAAGCAGCTGAAGATGGTTGGGCTAAGGACACTACCCTGAGGAACTCCTGGAGCTGAGATGACTGACCTCTAACAACCACAGTATCTTCCTGTGTGCCATGTATGACTCCAACCACTGGAACGTTTGCCCCCTGATACCCATTTATCCCAGTTTTTGCTAGCGCTCCTTGATGCCACACTCGGTCGAATCCCGCCTTGGCACCTAGGGATCTGTGAGCAACAACAGCTTTGGCATTGCTCTGTGGATTGGAATTCCACAATTCATTACCCTCCTGAGGGAAGAAATTCCTCCTCATCTCCCTATTGAGTGGTTAACCCCTGATTCTGAGGGTATGCCCTCTGGTCTGAGACTCTCCCAAAAGGGGAAACAATTTTACCCATATTTCCCTTGTCAGGTCCCTTCAGCATGTCATGTACTGTCCTGGGGAGAGAGGGCTAAGGCAGGCAAGACAGAGAAAGTGAGATAACAAGGTGTAGAGCTGGATGGACACAGCAGGCCAAGCAGCATCAGAGGAGCAGGAAGGCTGACGTTTCGGGCCTGGACCCTTCCTCAGACTTTTCTGTGTTGATCCAGCTCTACACCTTGTTATCTCAGATTCTCTAGTATCAGCAGTTCTTGCAATCTCTGAGACAGAGAAAGTTGTCTCTTCTCCGCTGAAACAGACTGCAAGTTAATTGGGTCAGTATTTAAGCCATCCAGGCACGGCTTCCCAAATAGGGCCTGTTGTTATGGGAACGTGACCGTGCTGTGGGTCAACTGGGAGGCAGAGCATGATGAGACTACAGGGTGTTTTCAATACGGCCGTCAATAATTTCATTTTGAAGCTGTGAAGGGATCGGGAAGAAGCTGGGAGAGGGACTGTTGGGCAGGGATTGGTAAAAACAGTGGTCGGGAGTGGGGTCCGGAGGTTGGGGGGCGTGGGTAGTGCAGAGGATGAGGTGACCCAGTCACACCTCCCAGTGAACAGATAGCACGCAGCCTTTCCTGGTTTCACAAGCAACCAGGCAGAAATGTACAGAGAGCAGACCACTGAAGTCAGTGATTAATGTGACATCTCTCTTATTGACTGAGAGGTGGATCATTAACTTGGTCGCTCTGTCTGTCTGGGTGACTGCGTAACCTGGGGTTGCTGCAAAAGCGATCAAATCCGAGCTGGAAGTCTCTGCAAGAGAGAGAGAGAGAGACGGCTCACTGCACAACAGCACAGACATGTCCCACTCATTCGCTGGCCTCTCAGTACTGTTGTCTAGTTCCTCCTTAACACAAGTTTGACAAACTTGACCAGAACGTTAGGAATGAATTTACGCGGATGTCCCACACCGCTGAAGTGGTCAAATCACTCTGAACGAAAACTGGTACCACTGTAAAACAGTCCCAACCTAACGAGGAAACACGTTGCAATAGCTTTCACTACTAAACAATACCAGCTCTAATCCTGTTCAGCCCCTTCAGTTTACAACACTTCCCGAGTCTCTTGTAGATTTGCACAGCCTCTCTCTGTATCTCTCTCTGTTTCTCTCTGTTCTCTCTCTCTCTTTCTCTGTCCCTCTCTGTCTCTGTCTGTCTCTCTCTGTCTTACTGTGTGTCTCTCTGTCTCTTTCTCTCTGTTTCTGTCTCTCGCTTTCTGACTGCCTCTCTCTTTCTCTCCCACTCTGTCTCTGTTTTTCTCTCTCTCTCTCTCTGTCTGTGTGTGTGCTCTGTGTCTTTCTCTGTCTCTCTCCCTTTCTCCTTCTGCCTGTCTGTCTCTCTCTCCCTCTGTCTCTCTCTCTTTCTCTGTCTCTTTCCCTCTCTCTCTCTTTGTGTGTGTGTGTGTCTCTCTCTGTCTCTCCCTCTCTGTGTGTGTCTCAATCTTTTTCTGTCTCTCTCTCTGTCCCTGTCGCTGTTTCTCTCTGTCCCCTTCTCTATCTCTCTCTCTTTCTCTCTGTGTCTCCCTCTCTCTCTGTCATTCTGTCTCTCTCTCTCCCTGTCTCTCTCTTTCTCTGTCGCTCTCTTTTTTGTTCTCTGTGTCGCGCTGTCTCTCTGTCTGTGTCACTGTCTCTCTGGGACTGCAGAGTTGCACTGTCTGTCCTCTTCACCCCCC